AACTATCACACCAACTAATTTGTTTCATTTGGTATGTGTGTGCCTGCTTATCTGTGAATATATTGTATTTTTGGAGCTCTGAGACATTAGCCCCTTGGTAGTTGAGCACCTCTTATGAATCTGATGAATCGGACTCCTGGTGTGGTGTGCTGTAGGATAAGGTTAGTTTGAACAGCAAGGTTGGTGCTTTAACCTCACCAGCCACTCCTTGGAGTCCCTATACAGGATCACTATGAGTCGAACTGACTCTAACCTCACTTAACAACAAACAAGCATGAATCAGAGTTCTGACCCTAAAGGGTCCAAAGTACAAAGTCCTTTTTCATTGATGTGTGTACTTTTCTGTAGACAATCTTCCAAACAGAAGAAGGCAATACAAACTGCGATCCGCAAAAATAAAGAGGCCAATGCTGTGCTTACCAGATTGAACAGCGAACTTCAGCAGCAACTGAAGGTAAGGGATGCTTTCCAAATCTGCAGACAATGGCATGGGCTTTGCACCCAGCTTTTTTGTTTGGTTTTGCCCATCTGATGAGGTTCTGGCTCCCTTCCTGGTGGGAAGGTCTAGCTTCTGGTCTTAGGCCCTTTTTGGAAGGTGCAAGTTCCCATGCATGAGTTCCGTGAGCTGGTTCTTGTGTGCTCAGAGGAAAACTAATAACTTTTTTAGGTAGGCTGTGCTTTGTGTGAAAGTTCACAGGACAGACAATCTATTTCCGAGACAAACATCCTTTATCATCTGGAAAGCTTCTGGGCAAAATCTTAATTGCTTAGATCCTCTCAGTGGTGCTAATTGTATGGCAGTGGAAGGTGCAACGAACGGCCAACCCTCCCAGGGTACCCTGGTAAAACAGTTCCATCTCACCACATCAGGGACATTACCTCTATCCTTATCCTCTTTCTCTTCATCATGAATCTCCCCGCCCCCAAGTCTTCTCTGGATTCTTCCTAGTGACTCAGGACTAGGCTTACCTTTGGCCCACATCCTTCCAACATTGGCCTCCTTTCCCAGCAAAACTTCTTCAGAGATGTTTTCACTCTCTAGTTTACTTCTTCACCAGTTGTGTTCTCGTCCCCTTCACTCCAGTGTGGCCCAGTGGGCCATAGTCTGTTTTACTATTACCTAAATTTTCAACATTCTACACAATGGACCCTTCCCTCCTCAGATCACTTTTCTCACTACCTAAGCTACCCTATACTTCTCTGGGTTTCCTTCTACTTCGCTTGTGTTTCCTTCGTGTTCTCTGCTGGCTCTTCCTTGCCCCAGCAATTTATTAAACATTTAAAATATACAGGCAGTGGGATCATTCAGTGACTGTTCATTTACCTACCACTTCAGTTCTGCCATTAACATTTTACTATACTATAAGGAGCTCTGGTAGCATAGTGGTTACAAGTCGGGCTGCTAACCTCACGGTTAATTGCTAACCAGCTGTTCCGTGGGAGAAAGCTAAGGCTTTCTGCTCCTGGCACAATTTGCAACCTCCGAAATTCTATGCAGAGACACTATGAGTTGGAACCAACTCCATGGCACACCACCGTCACCACCATATGCACTCCTGGTGCATACTGTATGCACTGGTGTCCTGGAATGGTGCTTGGGTTAATGCGCTGGCCTGCAAAGTCAGTTTGAACTGTGAAGTGCATTCAGTATAGCAGTACTGGTGTATACCGTATACTAATACTGTATGGAGTCCTGGTGTGGCACTATAGGATCAGCACTGGACTATGAACCACAAGGTCTGTGGTTCAAACCCACCAACTGCTTCTCGGAAACCCCATACAGGATCGCTGTGGGTCAGAACCAACTCAGTGGCACTTAACAACAACATACTATATGCATTTTATCACACATCTGTCTAGTTATCCATCCCTCTGTCCATCAGTTCATCTTATTTTTGACAGTTTAAAGTAAATTGTAGACATTTGTATACTTTCTCCTAAGTTTTCAGCTTGTATGTCATTGATTATATCAGTCAATATTTTAAAAATCATTTTTATGTATATTTTGGTTATTATTGTGGATTAAGCATGGGACTGATAGTTAAAGGGTTGGCAGTTTGAACCTACCAGTCACTCCATAGGGTAAATGTGAAGCAGTTTTAGTCCGTAAAGGTTGACAGCCTCAGGAACCCTGACCTAGAGCATTGCTGTGTGTCCGAAACCACTCAACAGCAGTGAATGGTGTAGTCAATAGACAGAACCACCACTAAAGCCAGGGAGGGGGAAATTGGAGAAGCCCACCAGCTTCTTCAGTCTGAAATTGATCAAACATGCAATCGGGATGCATTGCTAATTACTGATGAGGAGAATGTGAATGTTGGAAACAAAGTAGTTAGAAAATGTGGCTTTGGTGGTAGAAATGATGCTGGTGATCGCATGATAGAATTTTGCAAGACCAATGACTTCTTCATTGCAAATACCCTTTTAAAACAACATTAAAGGCAGCTATTCACGTGGACCTTTCCAGATAGAATACACGGAAATCAAACTGACTTCATCTGTGCAAAGAGATGATGGAGAAGCTCAATATCATCAGCCAAAACAAGGCCAGAAGCTTACTGGGGAACACATCAATTGTTCATAATACAAGTTCAGGAAGAAGCTAAAGAAAATTAAAACAGGTCCTCAAGAGCCAAACTATCTTGCATAGCTTGCACCTGAATTTAGAGATCATCTGAAGAACAGATTTGATACATTAAACACTAAAGACCGAAAACTAGAAGAATTGTGGGATGACATCAAGAACATCATACAGGAAGAAAGCAAAAGGTCAGTAAACAGTCAGGAAAGAAAGAAAAGACCAAAATGGAGGTCAGAATAGATTCTGAAGCTTGTTCTTGAGTGTAGAGAAGCTAAAGCAAATGGAAGAAATGAGAGAAAGTAAAAGAGCTGAACAGAAAATTTCAAAAGGCAATTCTAGCAGACAAAATCAAGTGTTATAATGACATATGCAAAGATCTGGAGTTAGAAAATCAACAGAGAAAAACATGTTCAGCATTTCTGAAGCTGAAAGAACTGAAGAAAAACCCAAGCCTCGTTTTGCATTATTGAAGGATTCTATGGGCAAACTATTAAATGATACAGAAAGCATCAAAAGAAGATGGAAAGAATACAGAGTCACTGTACCAAAAAGAAATGGTTGCTGTTCAGTCATTTCAAGGAATAAGTCAAAGCAGCACTGAAGCTATTGGCTGAAAACAAGGTTTCAGGAATGAACAGAATACAAATGGAAATGTTTCAACAAAACTGATGCAGTCCTGGAGGTGTTTGCTCATGTATGCGAAGAAATTTGGGAGACACCTACGTGGCCAACTGATTGGAAGACATTTGTATTTGTGCCCATTCCAAAGAAAGGTGACCCAACAGAATGCAGAAATAATCAAACAATATCATTAACATCACATGCAAGCAAAATTTTGCTGAAGATAATTCAGAAAAAAAATTGCAGCAATACATTGACAGTGAGCTGCCAGAAATTCAAGCCATATTCAGAAAAGGATGTGGAATGAGGGATATCATTGCTGATGTCAGGTGGATATTGGCTAAAAGCAGAGAATACCAGAAAAGATGTTTACTTGAGCTTTATTGACTGTGCAAAGGCATTGGACTATGTGGATCTTAACAAATTATGGATAACATTGTGAAGAATTGGAATTCCAGTATACTTAATTGTGCTCAAGAGATAGTCATTAGAACAGAACAGAACAATAGGACACTGAATGGTTTAAAATCAGGAAAGGTATGCAGTAGGGTTGTATTCTTTCACCATACTTATTCAGTCTGTATGCTGAGCAAATAATCTGAGAAGCTGGATCATATTATGATGAACAGGGCGTTAGGATTGGAGGAAGACTCATCAACAACCTGTGATATGCAGATGACACAACCTTGCTTGCTGGAAGTGAAGAGGACTTGAAGTATTTACTGATGAAGATCAAAGATTAAAGCCTCAAGTATGGATTGAACCTCAGTGTAAAGAAAACAAATATCCTCTCAACTGGTGGTGGTGGTGGTGGTGTGCCGATGATGAGTCAGTTCTGACTCATAGTGACATAGGTTTCGAGGTAAATCTTTATAGGAGCGGAAAGCCTCATCTTTCTCCCACAGAGTGGCTGCTGCATTCAAACTGCTGAGCTTGGCAGCTTGCAGCACAACATGTAACCCACGATGTTACCAGGGTTCCTTGTGCAAATCAATAACATCGTGAGACATGGAGAAAAGACTGAAACTGTCAAAGACTTCAGTTTGCTTGGATCCATAATCAGCGCTCATGGAAGCAGCAGTCAGAAAACCAAATGACGTATTGCATTAGGCAAGTCTGCTGCACAAGACCTATTAAAAGTGTTCAAGAGCAGAGATGTCAATTTGAGGACTAATGTGCACCTGCCCCAAGCCATGGTCTGTTCAATAGCTTCATACATGTGAAAAGTTGGACAACGTTAATGGAAGACCGTAGAACAATCAATGCCTTTGATTATGATGTTGGTGAAGATTATTGAAAGAATGCTGCCAGAAGAACAAACAGATCTCTTGGAAAAAGTACAGCCAGAATGCTCCTTAGTAGTGAGGATGGCAAAACTTCATTTTACATACTTTGGACATATTACCAGGAGGGGCCAGTCCCTAGAGAATGGCCTCATGCTTGGAAAAGTGGAGGGTCAGCAAAAAAAAAAGAGGAAGACCTTCAACAAGGTGGATCGGCACAGTAGTAGCAGCAGTGGGCTCAAACATCACAATTGTGAAGCTGTCACAACACTGTGCAGTGTTTTGTTCTGTGGTGCATAGGGGCACCTAACAACAACAAGTGTATAGAGAGCTCTGGTGGTGTCACAAGGTCAGCGGTTCGAATCTACCAGCTGCTTTGCAGGAAAAAGAGGATACTTTCTGCTCCCATAAAGATTTCATTTCAGAAGCCCTACATAGGTTCACTATGAGTTGGAATCAACTTGATAGCAGTGGGTGTTTGGGTGTGGTAAGTGTAGACGATTGGTTTTCTTAGTACTAGAACGTTTTCCAAAGTGTTACAGCATTTTGTACCTCTGCCACAAGATCCTTGGTTATGCTCATGAGGAACCTGTACATTGACCCAAGAGGCAGACGTTAGACCAGAACAAGGTGGTACTGAATGGTTCTTCTTCTGGTGTTACTCATTTTATTTTTAGGCAGGTTGTGGTTTTTATTTTGAGCACTTTTATATGTATTTATTGACCATTCATCTATCTTCTTTTATGAAGTAACTTCTAAATTTGGTGGCTGTCTTTCAAATTGCTTGTTTGGCTTCATTTGGAGGTGGGGGAGGAGTAGTTGTGGTGTTAAGTGCCATTGAGTTGTTGCCTATACATATGGACCCTGTATAGGATTTCAGAGGCTTTAAATCTTTGAGGCAGCAGAAAGCTTCATCTTCCTCCCACAGAATTGCCAGCGTGCTTGAACCACGAACCTTGTGTTTCGCAGTCCAGTACCATATAGAGACACTTCATCCATCTCAGATGCCAGTACTTGGCATATGTATGTTTTCCTCCAAGTTTTTGTTTTACCTATTCAGTTTGTTAACTGTATCTATTTATTGACAAGGAGCTCTGGTAGCGGAGTGGTTATGAATTGGGCTGTGAACTTTAAGGTCAGAAGTTTGAAACTACCAGCTGTTTTGCGGGAGAAAGATGAGGCTTTCTTTTCACTTAAAGATTTACAGACTTGGAAGCCCTGTACAGGGTCACTATGAGTTGGAACCAACTCCACGGCACATAGCAAAAACAACAGCATTTATTGGCAGATGTTTTAAATTCTGATGAAGTTGAGTTTATATATATTTTTTTGTTTTATGGTTATTTTATTCCTCTTATCCAAGGAAACTTTGCCCACTTCCAAGTCATGAAGGTGTTGTTGTTGTTGTTGTTGTGAAGTGCTGTCGAGTTGGTGCCGACCAATAGCAACCCTGTATAGGGTTTCTGAGGAGCAGCTGGTGAGCTTGAACCACCAACCTTGCAGTTCAAACGGCTTTGCAGTCTGGCTCATTAACCCACAGTGCCACACCAGAACTCCTTTTTCTTCTAGTGATTTTTTATGTATGGTGTGTGATTAGGGTCAAGGTTACTATTTTCCTTATATATTGTTAAGTGTCATCAAGTCAATTCTGACTCTTAGCTACCCTATTTAAGATTTCCAAGAAGCAGCTTGTGGGTTTGAACCACCAAAACAGTTCAGTGCTTAGCCTACATTATTCAACCCTGTTGAAAAGACTCCTTGGATTACTTCATCAGAAATCAGCTGATCTATAAATGTAGGCTCTTATTTTATGATTCTGATCTATAATTTATGTGTTCTTATTCTGTTACATTAATGTATTTGTTGGTCCTTATGTCGGTATCACACAGTCTTCTTCATTGTTGTTTATAGTAAGTTTTGAAATCAAGTAATCTAAAAGTTTCAACCTTGTTCTTTTTCAAGATTCCCTTAAATGCTCTAGACCCTTTTATTTCCATATTAATTGTAGAATTGGTATGTCAGTTTTTACAAAGAACCTATTAGCGTTAAGATAGGATTTGCCATGAATCTACAGACCAATTTGGGGAAATTTGACAAGTAAACAATATCGAGTCTCCTAGCCCATGAACAGAGTATGTTGTTGTTGTTGTGTGCTGTGGAGTCGGTTCCGACTCATAGTGACCCTGTACAGGGTTTCCGAGGCTGTAAATCTTTACGGGAGCAGAATGCCTCATCTTTCTCCCGTGGAACAGCTGGTAGTTTCGAACTGCTGACTCTGAGGTTCACAGCCTGATTCGTAACCACTATGCTACCAGAGTTCCTTATGAACAGAGGTCTTCTAGAGTTTCTCCCAGCAGTTCTGAGTTTGCAGTATACGTGTCTTAGACATCTTTTGTTAATTTTATTTCCAAGTATTTTGTAACACTATCATAATAGAATGCTATGGACAACATTGCAAGGTATGAGTATTCCGGAACACTTCATTGTGCTCATGAGGAATCTGTACATGGACCAAGAGGCAGTTGTTCGAACAGAACATGGGAACACTGAATGGTTTAAAATTAAGAAAGGTGTGCGACAAGGTTGTATTCTTTCACCATACTTATTCAACCTGTATGCTGAGCAATAATCCGAGAAGCTGGCTTAGATGAAGAATAACATGGCCTCAGGATTGGAGGAAGACTCGTTAACAACCTGCGATATGCAGATGATACAACCTTGCTTGCTGAAAGTGAAGAAGACTTAAAATATTTACTGGTGAAGATCAAAGTGCACAGCCTTCGGTATGGATTACATCTCAATGTAAACAAAACAAAAATCCTCACCACTGGATCAACTATCCACACTCATGGAAGCAGCAGTCAAGAGATCAGATGACGTATCGCATTAAGCAGATCTGCTGCACTTTTTAAAGCGTTGAAGAGCAGAGATGTCAGCTTGAGGACTAAGGTGCGCCTGACCCAAGCCAAGGTGTTTTCAATAGCCTCATATGGATGCGAAAGCTGGACAGTGAATAAGGAAGACCGTAGAAGAATGGATGCTTTTCAGTTATGGTGTTGGAAGAGAATAACTCAAAGTGCCATGGGCTGCCAAAAGAACCAGTAGATGCGTTTTGGAAGAAGTGCAGCCAGAGTGCTCCTTAGAGGCCAGGATAGCCAAACTTCTCATACTTCAGACATGTTGTCAGGAGAGACCAGTCACTGGAAAAGGATATCACGTTTGGTAAGGTGGAGGTTCAGAGGAAAAGAGGAAGACCCCCAACAAGAGGGATTGGCCAAGTGGCAGCATCGATGGACTCACGCGTGGCAATAGTAGTGAGGTTGGTCCAGGATCGGGCAGTGTTTCGTTCTGCTGTGCATAAAGTCGCTATGGGTCGGTACCGACTCAATGGCACCTAACAACAACAACATTATAATATATATGGTTTTTGAATTTCATTTTCTAATTGTTTACTGCAAACATATAAAAATCTAGTGGGTTTGTATATGTAATTCATAGCCAGATACCTTGCTAAAATAATTTCTTAATTTTAGTAGTTTCGGGATTCCTTAGGATTTCCTACAGTCCTGGCACCTTCGTTGCGTTTCCTTTCCAACCTGTATGACTTTTATTCATTTTCTTTCTTTCAAAGACTGTAACTTACCTGCTTTTGTTTTTATCCAAATTATACAGGTATATAGTGTAAGTTTCAACAGTTCTATAAGATTGTTCTACAATTAGCTTTGCAGTCTCCCTCCCCCCGCCCCCGCCACACACACACACACACACTCTCTCTCTCTCTCTCTGTCTCTCTCTGTCTGTCCTCCATTCACCAGAGGCAATTTACTTTCAACTCTGGCAGCTGATTCTGTCGGTATTTCTCTCCTCCCCCTCAAAATGGTGTGCCTGGGTCACTACTGAGCACCGTCCTGCTGAGCCTTCTGGTGTAACCTGATTACCTTTCTTTTCTTGCAAGACATTTTGCTTTCCCTGGAGTTAATAATTGTCTTGTTTTCTCATAGCCTCAATTTCCTTTTTGCTTATAACCAGTGCAACCCTAGGCTACGTCAGTTTTGCACATGTCTTCTCCAGATGTTCAGGTAAATCCGTTACTCACTCAGTTTTCTTTAAGAAGCTTTTCTGCTCATGGCCTCCTCCAGCTGTGGTGCAGCTGCCATCTTGTGGTCTTTCTTCACTACCATCTGAGGCTGTCCCTCTCCTTTCTCCACATTCTTGTATTTTATGGCTTTCTCCTTGGTGTGTTTTCTCCTTTTGGGGGGGGTGGGTTTCCTCATTTTCTTCATAAGTTACTAAGAAAAAGAGTGCATAGTAGGTCTTTTTTTTTTTTTGGCTGGGAGCCTTGTGTGACAGTATGAGTGAGTGAAGGATTCTAAGTTGGAACAAATTTTCCTTTCGAATTTTGAAGCCACCACTATCCAATGTTTTCATAGGATAGTTCTGATTCAGGTCACAGGGAGTAAGAGCACATGGTCCTTTATAGCTCACAACTGAATTATGAAAGTTAGAATACATCAATACCTATCTGAAAACTATGAAAAGTAAATATGAGCAGGTGTATCTGTGAAGGACCCCAGAACTCAGAGTGCCACCCAAATCTTATGATCCCCTCTGCTAGCCCGGCCTGCAGCCCAGAAGTAAGCACTGTGGCATGATTGGAAGGAGACTCAGGAGAAGTCCTTTAGCTCTAGCCTGAGGCTCATGCGCAGATACTCTGAAAATCCCCAGAAAGTGGGGAAGTCTCCTTGGGCGGGAGCTGCTCATTTTTACTATGGCCTGTCTTAGGGCAGCTACCAGGAATGGGAGCCCGCAGGTGCCCAAACTTGGAGGGAGGGAACCTATCCTGTAGCACCCAGGACAGGGTCACACTGGAGAGCCTTCCCCATGTATCAACCCCGCCACATGACTCCAAATACAACACAGCTGTGCTGTTCTCTGTCCAGAGGACAAAAAGTCAGTAATTGCCAAGTGCTGGGAGATGATGGAGAATGAAGGCCACACTCGAATGGCCTGGTTCCTCCCCAAACCTCTGTTGTCTAGCCATTTGAGTAGAAGTCCTTTGAGAGCTTTGGTCTTACCTGTCTCATTCTTTGCTGATTCCATAGCTTTTAGAGCAATGTCTGACTCATAATAGATAGATGCTCAATGACTATTGGGTGGGTGGAAAGGAAGAGGATGAATAAATGCATGTACAGTTCTATGCTGTCTACTAGCATGTTGGTTTTTCTGGAACACCCCAGAATTGATCCTCTAAATAGAATTCTTTCTTACCCTGACTGATTCTACTTAGAACTGTCTTTTGTATGTTGTTCCAACCCCCTCCTTTCAACTAATCTGTTTTAGGACTGGGAATTTGAATTCCCAAGTGGCAGATCGCTAAGTTTGTTTTCTGTCTGTCACCCTGAAGTCATACCTGAAGTTGTATTTGTGCAGGAGACTGGATGAGACTTTGATGGAAGAATGAAACATTGGTGTACTTCCCACCCCTCAGATCTGAGTACATTAGAAGTGAGGGATTACAACTAGAAATTCTGTCCTTCCAGTATTGGAAGTCGGCTTTACCTTTCCTACTCCCTCTCAGTCAGTCTCATACTAGTTGATGCCATTCCCTGCCTGTTAAAACTATGGGTGAGAAGAAGGCGGGAGGGGATGTCATTTCATTATCTTCCGAAAAGAGTGGAGAGGTGACGAATTGTGAGGCCCCAGCACCTGGCCACCAGCAGGTTGAAAGCTGCCTGCCCTTGGATCATGCGGCCCTTTGGTGTCTGTGGAGCCCATTGTGAACCTCTTCTGAATGTCTGATGAAGTAGGCATGAAACCAGAAAATGACCCATTTGCTCTTTTGTTTTTCTTTTCTCTGTTTTGCACAACTCAGGAAGTTCATCAAGAACGGATTGCATTGGAAAACCAACTGGAACAACTTCGTCCAGTCACGGTGTTGTGACTGACCCCCCAAAGTTCATCGGCCTATCCTGCCAAGATCTGCCCGTCAAACGTTTGAGCCCAACTCCTAGTCCTAAATGTCTGTGTCCAAAGCTCTGAGCAGCGGTGTAGAATCCACATCACCTTTTCTCTCGCACCTCACTTGTATGATTTACTGTGATCGATTGAAACTATCAGGAGAATTTTCTCTCCCATTCTTAAGTACTTCCTCAAGGTATTAGATGCTGCTCCTTACCAAAAACCATTCTCCTTGCAAATAATGATAATAATGATAAAAACAACTTAGAGTGTTATTAAAGAATTCAGGATTTGTATAAAATCTTATAACCAAGTACCTTCAAGATGCTTGTTTTATTTTTTGTGCGTGTATCATATACAATAGGTTGGTTTCCTGAATAATTGGGATTCCAACTGGATAGTCTTTGGCATGATGATAATAAAAACAAACACAAAAACATAAAACAAAAGCATCTGATTTAGACTGGCACTGTGCCCTCCACCACTATATGCCAAAAATTGCTTCTCTAGTGCCATTTTGATATTATATCTACCTATAAATAATACATGACTATTGTTTTCTATTGAATGTCAAAGACTTGTTGAGTCTTTACACCTCTGTAAAGCAGAGGTTTTGGCAATGATCTGTTCAACTTCGCCCAGCTTGGCTGTCAACCCAGATAACTCAGTCCTTTCATGTAAATTTTTGGGCAAGAGCAATCTGTTTTAAGTGCCTCGCCCTGTTAATTTCAATAAAAAGTTGCCAGCTCTCAACTTCTATCCTGCGTCCAGACAGCATAGCTGTAAATGCAGGAGTTAGGCGAGGTTGATGAAACCATGTTTGGATTGATGAACCTGTGTTGTTTGGACTGAGGTGTCCAAATGGGAAAAGCAGGGGGAATGGTTGTTACTAACAATCCAACAACCTGTGGTACTTATTTTCATCTTTATTATTTTAACCTGGATTGTGAATATGGGTATGAAGAAATAATGCAAGAAGGCTGGTCCTCCCACTGGATATGTGACTATTTTGTTCTCTGTCAAGTCTACCTTGGAGAAGTCATTGGGTTAGAGCCAATTCAGAGGAACCAGTAACTGCAGCGTAGGGTTATGTAAAACAATAAGCTCAAATCAGAGAGCCCACTACCCAAATTGAAAGTAGGGTCAGGGCCTAGCAGTTTGAGCATTACTTAGACGAATGCAGGAGACGCAGGCACTGGCGCATTGCGCTCAATTGCCCACTCCTTGGCTAGATGGGTGCCATGTGCTTGGGCCCATTTGGAAGTAGTTTTGGATAAATTCACAGTATGTGTGTGGAGTTAAGTCTTCTGTTTCAGTAAAGCTCATTGAGAGCGTTTAGAAAAAGTAGACATTTATTTAATGCTTGCATATTATTAATAGTGTAGGGGCAGAAGAGAAGGGTTCAAACTGACAGTGATGTTTATCCAAAGGGAAAAAAAGAATTAGTTGATCCTATTCTGTGCCTACTTAAGGACTTGGATTTGCTTTTGAAGATCATGAGACTTGATCTGTTTCTCTCTCTTTTTTCCTTACCCTTTCTTTAGGTTGCCCCCTTTGTCCCTGTGGGAAGGGTTGGGAATGAGTTTCAGCCCTTCCTAAGAAGGTCAGTGCGGATATTTTAGGTGACCTCTTTTCCCCTGTTCTGAGAGCTGAGGGCTGGAACACGTATTCTAAGCAGTGTTCTTGTGGCAGACGTTCCGCAGCAAATGCACTTTATCTCATTGTCTCCTGATTACGGCCGCACGCATTCGGGATCACACTTCATAGCCATTAGTCAGGCATAGAAACAAAGGAATGGTAGTCTAGAATCTGCATGTTAGAAATATTGACATGCTTTTTTTTCAGGCACATCAAGCCCATGAATGAAATTAGAGCTTTTATTTAGTTGGCTTGGTTCTCATTCAACATAGAAGCAAAACAAAACAAACTTGTATTGGACAATCAAAGCGCCCTGAGTTTCATGGTCTCACTAATGTTTGAGGTCGATACTGCGTTAAAGCACTCACCAATAATATCCACACCCAACCTTCTTGGCCGGAGTTACTTGTGGCTACAATTTACTAGTTGTTTAGAAGTAGATTTTTAAAAAACAATTATTTAGTGTATCTATACACACATGTTACTATTATTACCTAACTATTACTCTTCCTCTTTCCTCATATTGTTAGTATACTTGGTAATTGACAATAATAACTCATGACAATATTTCTACGAGCCTTTAATTTGATTTTTTGGAAGGCTGGTTATTAAAAATCATCATTATACCTCTTTTGTAAAACACCATCATGATTTGACTTATCTGCTGGGCAGAATTCTGTAGACAGAAGGTTAGTGTTGCCTCGTCCATGGGGATTTACCTTGTCACTAAGTGGTCTTCCCATAGGGAAGTCCTCTAGCCTTGTGGATGGAAGCACAGTAGGTGCTATAGTGGGCCTATTGGCTTTCTTGGTGTCTCGTGTATCAGGCATATTGCCTTTGCCATCTCCCCTCCAACAGGCATGAAGCAAAGCCACAAGGTAAATATCTGTAATAGATGTGTGTGTTGTAATCAAGGCAGATGTTTGCCTCAGTTGGAAGGGTCTTAGCTGCTTTCTGGGTACCTTAGAGGGGTGTTTTGGGCCTGTTTGAGAGAGGAGGCAGTTTAGCTGAAAGCTATTTCCATCTTACTGTCCCTGAAGTATATAAAGGTAGATAGAGCTGAGAAGGACCTGCCCTTGTCCCCGCATTTTCCATGTGGGAAAACCAAGGCCCTAAAACCTGCATAATTCCTGGCCTGAGAACCCCTAGAGAGAGGTCGCCCTTGACAGAATTGCAGTGACAGCCTGATTTGAGGGACTCTGAGTTACATCCTTTAATCTCTAGCAATACTAAAAAAAAAGAAAGGTCCCTTCTGATTACTATGTGGAATTTTAATCAGTCAAAATACAAAAACATCTTTGAAGGAGTTTTAGGTCTAGAACTATCTCCTGGACTAAAACAAAGAAATAAAAATTCAAAGGAGTGAATACGATTTGTGCTTCTGAACACCTCACCTTTCATGATGCAATAAGTCACTCTGAGTTTCTTGGCAGAACTTTGGACAGCTGTTGCTTTCAGTGGATGCCATTCCTCTATTCCTTATGGGAGTTTGTTTTTTAAATAGACTACTGCGATAGAAATGAACTCAATATGGTAGTAAGTTACAGTTTTCTTTAATATATTAGTCACAAACGTTCAATATCATCTCTTTTTTATTTTTAGGGTGAATAATCAGAAACATAAATTTTCCTTTGATTTCCTACCAGTGTCTGAACTATCAGAATGCATTCTTCTCTGTAGATGCAATTTGACCATTTAGTCGATTTCTAAGTGATATTTGTCTAATCCTTAAATGATCTCACAGCCATGGTAAAAATAGATGCATCCTCAGAAGATCAATAAGCTCAAATCTGAAACGGAGGTGTCACCTAATTAAGACAGCATTTGAAAATATCATCTTCCAAGCAGTAGTTGGAAGGTTCTCAACTACAACACCTTTTAGCGCAGAGGTGGGCAACCTTTTTTTTCTGCCAAAATGTATAACATCATTCGCAGGCCATATAAAATTATCAAATTAAAAATTAGTCTGCTCTTATTTGGTCAAACATTTAACTCACCCCTAATGTGATGCCAGAACTGCAGTTGTCTTGGCAGGGCCAGACTAAATGATTTAACAGGCCTTATGAGGTTGGCGGTTCAAACTCAACCAGCCACTTTTTGGAAACCTTATACAAGGTTTGCTATGAGTCACAACTTCCTCAACAGCACTTCCCTCCTGTAGAGCAAAAAACATTTTGTTCACCACAAACTAGAATCACACCTCCTGACTAGGTATCACCAAGGGAATGTGATTTTTTTTAAATGGATAAAAAGAATTTCAAATCTAAGACCAATCAGATGCTCAGTCAGTTCGGGTTTGAACATTCATGAATGTGAAAATGAACTGTCGGTTGGAAGGTAGGTCTTTTTTCCACTCGTTAACGTGGACTACTAGGAACTCTGGTTTCCCTTTCCAGCTGGTTTAGTGTTTCAGGTGTGCTCTTTCAAAACTCTTGATTCCCAAGGCTCAGCTGATTGTACCATTGAGTTTTGAGTGCCCTTGTTAGGGGTTTGCAGTATGATTCAGTGTGGTGTGAGTTCCTAAGAAGAAATGCCATTTGGGGACTTTGGAGGTACCTAGCTGCTGCTTCAGCACAGACTGAAGGAGAATGACCTCCAATACCACCAGATCAGTAAATAAGGGCCGGCCGTCTGAAGGTTGTCACTCTGGAAGCCTCCCTGCATTGCCTGTTTGTAGTGAGAAATGCATTGAATTCCATGAACTGCCCAAGAACCACTCTTGGTGGGCCAGACTTTAAAAGCAATGCAAACAAACAGACTCTTCGGAGCTGCCGCCCTGCCCAGAAATAGGCTCGGGAGGATACCTCCCCAGATAGCCTGTTACAAGTGTCAGACCTCCCAGGTAACCTGAGGGCATGGAGGCATTTACTAACAGGTCAAATGCTAAACACAGCTTTGTTAAAAAGTGTTAGAAGGTTCCCATTGTTCTAGTTTCAAAAAGCCTTGCTTTGCTGACAATTGAGGCATGTTTACTTTTCCTGCTTTGTGAATTCTTCTGCCTTGCTGTATAAAGTAATCTCATGACTGAGGGAGATTGGACAAAGTAGATTTCTGATACTGAAGACTACTGGGCTTGAAGGAAGCTTGAACTGAACTGGAATTTGGGGACGACTTTGGGTACTCATTCTATCCTTAGCACGCTATTGGATTTTAGAACTAGACTATAAAGCTTCTTCAAGGAACTCTACCCTGGGAACGGAACAATTGATACAATAGCCCAATTGTGTGGAGATTGGGTCAGCTGAATTGGGTTGTGTTTCTTTTGTTTTAAGGGAACTTGTGTGGGCATTTTAGCTGCTTCCATCTTGGGGCCAGGCATCTTCTTTCCTTTAACACTACTGTTCT